ATCAGCTGAAGAAGGCGTCAAGTGGAAATAACCAGAGGACCCCACCCGGAGGGCAGACTGGAATCCACCCAACAGCCTCAAGAATGGGAGAACCAAAGAACAAGATAACATCTTGGAGCCGTCAGGAATGTGCTATCTGCTGATTGATTCAGCAACAGCATGATGAAGCAATTCCCATAGACTGGCATAGGAAGAAATTCCTATAAAAATGGACTCTAGAAAGTGAGAATTTTGGGGTCTGATTCTGCAAACCAACTTCCAGGAGCATCAGATGAGCATCTGACAAGGCCCTGCTCCCTCCTCATGTCCAGGCCACCTGGCCAGTGGCTTGGCATGAGCAACTCCAAGGCTGGTAACTATGATAACAACCTTGCAGAACGTGTGTGTGTGAATAAATATGAGATTGAATGGAATGTTATAGCTGTAACTAACTGCTTACTATGATTCTTTCTGTATTCAAAATAAATGTGGTATTTTGCCTTTTTCCCTTTAATAAGATCCTGCTGGTTTTTATTTTATTGGTATAACACTAGCTTCACAGCAGATGCCTTGCTCCTCATTGACCAGCCTGATCTTATTACCTTTCCCGTCTTCAGCTTGATTTGAATCTGAGAGCTGAGCCAAAAATGCATTTCCCCCAAATGTTTAAAGTTCATTCTCAGATTTCTACCCAGGGTGGATTTCAAAATTCAAAGTTGCAAGCTCAGAGAGGTGTTAAGTGGCCCATTCGTCTCAAAGACACGTTCTCAACTGAAAGAGAATACCTGATGGTGATTAATACAGTCTCAACCAATAGCTATGAGCCTAACTGGAGAAGCCTTATGAAGTCAATACAGAAAAGTACATGAGTAACATACACATTGCACTTCTTTATCTGTCATGCATTCAGTAAGATCAAGCAGAGACTGGAAAGTCATTGGAGATATTGTAACAGGTCTTTTTATATTCTTTATCTTACTTGATGATGTACACAAAGCAAATGAGCTGAGTATTTGGGGTACTAACATACCTTACTGGTCAATGTTCAGTTCCATGCCCAACACTGCAGTGAGAGGTAAATAAATAAGATACGGTAAATGAGTATATTAGACAATGTACCCATTTACCGTGCATTGAAAAACAAAACAGTAAGGTAAGTGAATGTGTTTCACTATACTATTGTGTATAGAAAAGAATAAGGCGCATGATTATTTGTAATGATTTTGTCATTTGTCAGGGATACATCCTGAAATGGCATCAATAATGCAATGTTGATCTATATCCAAAATCATATCAAAACACCACTCACTGGAGAGAAAAAAACTTGACAGCAAATTAAACAGACATTTTTATGTAACATTGAAGCAAAAACCCATACTGTAAAATAAGCCATAAAAGGGATAAGTACATGAAGTGAAATTGTGAGTTGTATGTCAACTTGCAGAAGACCTCATAGTCCCACATACACACACATTACTGTTAATGTTCAATTGGCAGTGACACGAGTGCAGGCTACATCTTAACGAACGAGCAACATAATTTTCATACAGCAAACAAACCAAACAATTAACTTTGTCTCAATTTATCAATGTCTGTGGACATTCCTTGTCCTCACTCGGCAGGGGAGAGGGGACAGAGAGAGGGTTAAACATCGTGACAGCATGGCTTACACTTCCACCAAGCGTTGTTTTGAACAGGGTTTGCTGAAGCTGTTAACTCCTGCATTCAATATAGACACATGATTTTAAATACTGTCATACAGCAATAGAAATGGGTTTCTGAGCCCACGTCAAAGAAATAACAAAATATTTGATGTTAAAATATCTGTACTGATTATGGCAGACCAAAAAGTAAACTTGTCAGAATGAAAACCAAACTGAAATGTATCAAGTTAGAATTTTTTGGTGCATGACACATGATTTTTTTCATACTCGTGAATAATTAATATCTACGTTCAGTAAAAATTACACGACATATGCCTTAGAGAGGGATTTCATATAAGATAGAATAGCATCCTCAGTGAATATTTGAGAAGTAAGTTCTACATGCAAGTGATGACATGGAAAAAAAGAGGGCAAAATACAGTCGAGAAAGGCAATCCTCACTGGAGGATCAAAGGAAACTGAAGAAAGAGTAAACTTGTGGTATGGGGGGAAATTAAAACTGTAGGAATAAAAATGGAAAATTACAAAAACAAAGTGCTATACTACAAAACACTGATAGGTGATCAGCTGGGTCAATTAAGATGAGTCCAATTCCAGCAATCAAAAGAGAAGACAAATTTGTGAAATGCTACAAAGCTATATACAGACATGTTACTCCTATGAAAAAGGACAAGGAATTCTTTGAAACATCAAAAACATGTATGAAGATTATGAACTTTTTGTGATGGTGTGTATGTGTGTAAGTAAAATATTATTACACTGAACAAAGTCTCCTGGAGCACATATCCTCAAAAAGCTTAGGCTTCATGGCTCAGGGCTCTAGGCATTGGGCTACATTCAGGGTAACTGAACCTGTATTTCCCCTCAGTGGCCCAGACGTCCCATCAGTTTGCTGGATCAGGAAGAAAGCTATGAGCCTGTTTAAAACCAAGCCATTTATTCAAAAATCCTTTCTCTGTCTGTTGGGCTCTGGCAAATCCAGTCTCAACTAGTATTTGTGTACCTCTCCCTAGAGGTGGCTTCACACAGCTAGAGCACATTAGCAACCCCCTCCTCTTAGAGGCATTGCATGCAATGCACCACACACACATGCACACAATTTCATTTTTAATACAACAGTCCCCCAAAGGTACTAAACCTAATTCAGTAAGATTTAATTTAGTTCCATAAGGTTTGCCCAGAATCCTACAGGACATTGTCAGTCTGTCACAGGCTACACTGTGCCCTTAACACCACAGCCATGGGGAGAGGGTGCTGACATGGACCTTCTTGGAAGAATACAAGCCCCTCTGCCACCCACAAACCCTACTTTGGCAACCAGGGCAGATAACTTCTTTTATCCCCCCTGCCCCTCCCTCTCCCAAAGTTTCCCTTCCCCTGCCATTATCCTCAGCCCATCTCCCACTTACACCTGTCCCCCGTGTTGTGTATCTGCCTCTCCCTTCGCCCTCCCTCCATCCCTTTTACCTTCCTGTGAACACAGTTTGGCCTTCGGCACAATTTCTGCCCACACCACCCCTCCAATTCGACCCCTCTCGCTGCCCCCCTTTTGAACAAGGAGCATAAGGGCAGCGGCTTCAGAAGATGGTCTGTCTGAGCATGGTCAGTGACAGGACCGCAGCTAATCCTGCGCAGCACCCCCTGCCCGGGCCCTGGGCTACGGAGTAGACCCCCGTCGCCCCCCTGCAGTGAGACCCAGCCCGAAGCTTAGCGGCATGCGGGAAAAAGGAGCGGCTCAGACGTGCATCTCACGCCCACCGCTCTGTTTCGCGCCTGCGCACAGAAGACCCCCTCCCATTGCCTTTGCTCTCGATTGACAAGTTTCTGCAGCTTACAATGCGCAGTTTCTCAATGAAGCGCAGGCATCTTACAGAGCTAAGGCAGAATGAAACTTCACTGAGCGCAGTACACCCGAACAATAAACGGCGCTGGCAAGCCGATTTCACTCACTGTGCTAAATGCAGCATGATCTAGGACAGATACCGGGTCAGAGACCGAGAAGCTAATTCCTTTGTCTGTTTCAATGCTTTCGCTGCAGAAGGTGATTTCTTTTCTCTTTTTGACAGTCACAGCCCCTGCACATTCCGGAGAGCCTGCTTTAACCCCCTGATGCCTGCAGCAGAAGGGGGCGGAGGGTAAATCTTACAGCACAGAAATCTCTCTTGCTCCCCTCCACACACACTCATGTGCACGTGTCTCCATAATTGGCGTGCATCTTTATACCCACACAATTCATTCTGGAGGGGGCTGCTCAGTGGGCATTAGTTTTCTGGCAGCGTTTGAAGTCGCTCTCTCTCTCTCCGCCTCTCGTTTGATTAAGGATTTGGCGGTGTATTTTTAAGTGAAAATCTCATTCATGAATTTTTGAAATCTCCTTCAATCAGCTCCCGGTGAGCGGATGAAAGCTGTATTCACGTGTCCATGACTATGTAGTTTTCAATCACTTATGCATAGGCATCAATTTAGCAAGTAAATGTGCTTCCCCACGTGTCCGTAAAAATAACCCCCGTCCGTCTGTCTCGGTGGCTGTGCTCGGCTTTCTGTCTCGCGGCTGATGCTGCAGAAGGAGGCACACGAGTCGCATGTGCTATTTGCTGCTCCTACACGCTCAGGGAGCCGCACATTCCTGTGGAAAGGTGACCACGTGCGCCTCCTTGAGTCTCCCTCGGGGAGAAATGACCACAGCAAAGCGCTCCCCACAGAGGTACTCACGTCCTCCCATTCTACATTCGCTGGCTGTGTTTGCAGAAAGCCAATAAGGAAAATACCATTAACGATGCACAAGGCACTCTGGGCGTGGACAGTTTGTCTCGTTAGGTATAGAGTGCGAGTTTCTTTTTCAGGCACAATCAAGTCAAATACAGAAGGGTTTTTTGAAGGAAATATGTTCACTGATTTTTAAACGAATATAAACATCATAATTTATATTAATAGAAAAGCAATATTTATATCACACATATGTACACTTACCAGTATTCCCTCCCATAAACATTCACACCCACAAATTTTTCTAGCACACAAACATGCCCACAAATCCTCCCCCACTCCCCGCACCCGCTCTGCATTTTTGGATGACAGGATTGACTGCCTTGAGTTCTCTTTCTTAGTTTGAACTATTAACAATGCAAGGCTCCTTGCGTGTAGCTCCCGCAAAGGACTGGTGTTCATGATCCATTACGGAGGAATCATAGAATATCAGGGTTGGAAGGGACCTCAGGAGGTCATCTAGTCCAACCCCCTGCTCAAAGCAGGAGAAGAGGGGCACCCGGCATAATCTCAGTCACTCCGCACCGCTCACTCTAGTGAGTATCCATGCTGCTGACTGTGTCCCTGGTATCTCCACTTGCTCTTCCTCCCCCCTCCTCCCCTCTCGACTCACGCGTTCTTCCCTCCCTTCCCACTCCCGCCCTCAGTGGTCTGCTGGCTGGGTTACGCAGGAGCAGCCGCTTGCAGCCGCAGCAGTTCGCAGAAGGGTTTGCAAAAGCGCTTTCAGATCAGTGCATCCCGGGGAAGCCGCGGCCGCACTTTTCCCTGAGGAAGTGGGGGGAGCAGGAGGACCTGGCCCAGAACCAAGCGCCAGACCAGGGAGCGGGTAGGAGGGGACAAGGGAGAACCGCGGGCCAGGGCAGAGCAGAGAGCCGGGGCCAGGTGGAGGAGGAGCAGGAGGCGATAAAAGAGGAGGGGGGCCAGCCTGGACGAGGGCGGAAAGTCAGGCAAACGTTGCTCCCCCACTTCTGGGCAGCCTCCCCACCTCTGAGGGAGGGACCGCTCCCTACGGCTAAAGCGGGCTGGGAAGGTGGGTGATCTCCTCTCCCTTCTGCCATGGTTCATCGGGGTCGGAAATAGTTCGAGGCAGTTTCGGGAGCGGTCCCAAGCTGGGAGCGGAGCCGGTGTTGTGAGGCGGCGGCGGCGGCGGCGCTGGAGCCCGGGGACCATGTCGGCTGGCAGCCTGGACTTCGCTGCGGTGGAAAGTTTCCTGGACCGGCACCCGGAGCTGGTGGAGAAGTGGCTGAAGAGGAGGAAGTCGCTCGCCGCAGCGCCTGCGGGCACCGGCAGCGCCGGCGGCGGCCCTGAAGCCCGGCGAAGCAGCGGCAGCCCCAGTCTGGGCCCCGCCAGCAGCTGGGCCAGCAGTGGCCCCGGGGAGGCCAGCGCGGCGGGCGGGCTGCAGCGAAGGGCCTCCCAGAAGGAGCTGAGGCAGAGCTTCGCCAGGTCCAAGGCCATCCACGTCAACCTGACCTACGACGAGCACGTGCACGCCCGAGCCCAGGAGCCCCTCAGCAGCATGCGGAGAAGGGCCCTGCTCAGGAAAGCCAGCTCCTTGCCCCCGACCACGGCGCACATCCTCAGCGCCCTGCTGGAGTCCCGGGTCAGCCTGCCCCAGTACCCGCCCACCGCCCTGGACTACAAGCGCCACCTCAAGGAGCACAACGAGCGCCAGTTCTTCCTGGAGCTGGTCAAGGACATCTCCAACGACCTGGACCTCACCAGCCTCAGCTACAAGATCCTCATCTTCGTCTGCCTCATGGTGGAGGCCGACCGGAGCTCGCTCTTCCTGGTGGAGGCAGCTGCGTCGGGCAAGAAGAGCCTGGTGTCCAAGTTCTTCGACGTGCACGCGGGCACCCCACTCCTGCCCTGCTGCAGCACCGAGAACTCCAACGAGGTGCAGGTGCCCTGGGGCAAGGGCATCATCGGCTATGTGGCAGAGCACGGGGAGACAGTCAACATCCCAGACGCTTACCAGGTAGGACCAGGGCTAGCCATAGGGCATGTGAGTTTATGGGCACAGAAACTCATGTGCTGGCCACCTGTGGGGACTCAAGGCCCAGCTGCCTGCCTGCCATGTGCCCCTCAGTTTGCGGGGACCTGAATCATAGAATCATAGAATATCAGGGTTGGAAGGGACCTCAGGAGGTCATCTAGTCCAACCCCCTGCTCAAAAGCAGGATCCATACCCAATTAAATCATCCCAGCCAGGGCTTCTTGGGTGAGTGAGGCTTCTTGGCTTCTGGAACAGTGTGACTTTCCAAAAGGGGAGCAGGGCAGGGCAGCAACACTGCCCCATTACTGCTGCCCTATGCATAAGCTGTGTGCCCTGGGAGGAGGGGGGGGAAACCTAGAAAGAATTAAATTTTGTAACCATAGGATTAAGCCTGACACTAGGGAGAAATCCCATTCCCTATCCAGTACGCTGAGCTCTTAATCAAATTGATAGGTAGTGAGATGTCAGGGTTTCTGGGTGGTGGCTCTGCCAGGCCCTGGCTAGGGCAAGCCACTTAACCACACTGGACCTAAGCTTACCCATCTTTTGAGTTTTCCTGTTGGTTGGGGACAGTCACCGTGCATTCAAACACTAACAGATTACTACAACAGTGCAATGTGAGATTGCATCAGTGTCATGATATAACGTATTATGATGATGGCTTGTGGGCTTCTGAAGCTGGTTTCGGGAACCATTGGTTTAGTAGTAACCAGGAAGGGAATATTAACTCAGCAGTGATAGAGAATAAGGATAATAATAATTTGCACTTTTATAGCAACTTTCATTAGAGGTTCTCAAAGAACTTTGCAAAGTGAATCAATCCTTAAAACAACTCTGTGATGTGAAGTATAGAAATATGCTGGATCAGGAAGAAAGCTATGAGCTTGTTTAAAACCAAGCCATTTATTCAAAAATCCTTTCTCTGTCTGTCAGGCTCTGGCAAATCCAGTCTGAACTAGTATTTGTGTACCTCTCCCTAGAGGTGGCTTCAAAGGGCTGATAGCTAGAGGAATTACATTAGCAACCCCCTCCTCCTAGAGGCATTGCACGCAATGTACACACACATGCACAAAATTTCATTTTTAATACAACTGTCCCCCAAAGGTACTAAACCTAATTCAGTAAGATTTAATTTAGTTCCATAAGGTTTGCCCAGAATCCTACAGGACATTGTCAGTCTGTCACAGGCTACACTGTGCCCTTAACACCACAGCCATGGGGAGAGGGTGCTGACATGGACCTTCTTGGAAGAACACAAGCCCCTCTGCCACCCACAAACCCTACTTTGGCAACCACTGCAGATAACTTATTTTAAACAACTGTGTGATGTGAAGTATAGAAATATAACAGTACTCATTTTACAGCCAGTTAACCTAGCCTTATCAGCCATTCTGGATTTTGTGGATCTGTTCTAATTTTACTTGAGCAATCTCATGCCTTGCAAGTAATGCCTAGGTCCCTCCTAGGGGACAGTTCTAGGGGTCCCTCCTAGGCATTACTTGCAAGGCATGAGATTGCTCAAGTAAAATTAGAGCAGATCCACAAAATCCAGAATGGCTGATAAGGCTAGGTTAACTGGCTATAAAATGAGTATTGTTATATTTCTATACTTCACATCACAGGGTTGTTTTAAGGCTTGATTCACTTTGCAAAGTACTTTGAGAACCTCTAATGAAAGTTGCTATAAAAGTGCAAATTATTATTATCCTTATTCTCTATCACTGCTGAGTTAAACTTCCCTTCCTGGTTACTACTAAACCAATCTAAAGATAAAATATTTCTGAAAAGCCTTTGCATGTGCCCCTCTGGATCAGCACAGATTTCCAAACCTATTTCTGAGAACAAGGTAACAACTCCCATCTCCCCTTACAAGGACTTTCTCCACCACTTCAGATTACTCACTTTGAACTCTGAGGATGAAATCCTGACCTCTATGAAGGTGATGGCAAAACTTTCATGTCCCATTGACATGGGTAGGGCCAGGATTTAACCTTGAGCTTTCTGAATTTAGATCAACTTTTACACACTTACACACACACACACTTTCAGGTTTCCTACTTTTCTTTTTGCTTATTTTTCCTTTCTGTTACATGTAAAACAGGCCTCTCTCACCCAATTAGACATGGAGAGCTATATAGGATTGAGAAATAAATATATATCTTCATAGCTGGGACTTAAATATTTTAACTGCTTGATGATAAACATTTGCCCAATGTCTAATCTTGTCCTAGAATAATAAAAAGCAAACACACAAACAAAAATTAACAGTTGTTCCTGAACCATTCAGGGAGAAGACTGGAGATTAGAACAGAGCGTTTTTTTAAATACAGGCCTGTCAGGATGAATTTTTGAGTTTTGAGTGATACTATTTATTATTCATCAAGGACCCAAAAGTGTGGTAGGCACCTTAGATGCATAAGTTGAGACAGGTCTCTGCCCCCCAGACTTTACAAACTAAAGAGAGAGAGAGAGAGAGAGAGAGAGAGAAAGGGATATAACATATACAACAAACTGACTGAGGACAAATTTTGGCACTCATCTGATAAATTCAGATTTTTCTTCTTTTCCCTCCCCATTATTTGCTCCCCTTCCCCCTCTGTTTCCGATCCAGCCCTCCCCTCTAAACCATCACCATCATCCCTCCCCACCTGCCTGCCGTCTCCCTATCTTCTTTCCCAATCATTGACAGTGTGCTGCCTATGAGATGGTTGCAACATGAAGAGATTAAAGCAAGAAGTAGCCAGCCAGGAGATTCCCTCAGTAGTACTAAGTGTCTATAGTATCGAAAGGTACTGGAGTTTGCTAGAGCCAGGGTCTGCCCCTCACTATGTCATCTGTTGTCTCTGGGTTCATGGAGTCTCTGGACAGCTCCAGGTGCTTTCCTTGCAGGAGGTGAGGGGACCACTGGTGTGGCATGGAGTTTCCTAGGGATGAGGGACGAGACCATTTCAGTCTCCCTTGCCCTTTTTCCTTGAAAGAGCTCAATTACTTTAATAGATTTATTTGTACATGGCAGAAAATGGAGAAAAATAATCAAGGCATATTCTATTAACTGACCAATCAATATTTATTTTACATTCTACTTCTTATGGCTGGCTTCTGTTCATTGTAGTCAGACTAAAAGTTTATACCTAATACACTTCTCTATGTGCTTAAACCAACAAATATATACTTATTGGGGAAGAGGGTAGAGTCTTGGGCTCTGTTGTCACCTTATTTACATCAGGTTTACACTGTTGCAACTTTCATTGACTTCAGTGGAGTTACTTCTGATCAGCTTTGGCATCAGAAGCTTCAGTCTCTGGCTTCATTGAGGGTTTTGTCTGAGAACAGAATGGAGGATCTGGCTTCTCTTTTGATTAACCAGTGTGGTTCTGAGTTAATGCAATTTATTTTCTTGTACCTGGCAGGCTTGTGACCATTACATATTATTAAAGCAAAAGGAGATCTACTCTATTTAACACTAGCAAGAATAAAGACTCCTAAAGAGGCTCTGATACAAGTGCAAAGACAAGTGACAGATGTTCCCTTTCAGATCATTGCTAGTGCTTTCAGATCATTGTTAGTGCTCACAATACACTACTTTAAAAATTAATAAAAATGTGATATGATTAGTCAGTGTTAATGATGAAGGTGTTTGATCAGCTGTGAAGTGAAAAAACATCAGCAGGTAGCTTTGTCAGGCTGACAGATGGAGGAAAAAAGGATGACAGAGTAGCATTCCTTTTTTATATTAGAGATTGACCACAGTGAAGTCAAAGAAATATTGAGAGATATTAGGTAAACAAACACCTTTAATTTCATTTAAAGATTGTGTTTCAGAACATCATAAAGCAAGTTAAAGAGACAAAGATATTCCCCTAACATTCAACTGGTTTACAGATAAGTGGATTTAATTAGCAAGAAATTAACAAGATTTAGGCGGTTTATCATTCAATGTGTCAACCATTGCTTTTACTTCCACAGGGCCTGATTAAACTCCCATTGAAATCACTGGGAAGTCATTCCATTAATTTCAGAGGAAACTGGATTGGGCTCTTGTTACAAACAGAGTGCCTTCAACTTCCACTGAAGTCACAGGGAGTTAAGAGTGCTCATCATGTAAGATTGGGCCCTCAAACTTTAGATCCCAACCCTGCACTGTGATGTGTGGAGATAGGTCCCCTGTGCCCATACAGAGCGCCACTGGTTTAAATAGTTTGTAATGACTTACATGGTGTTTTCAAAGAGGATATGATATTTTTGTTACAAAATGCCTTTATCTGAAGTGGAATAGTCATGAAATCAAATAATAGCTTGAGGCCTTAATAGTGAATCTGGTGACGGTTAGGTTATTGGGCTGGATCTTACAAACCCTTACTCATGCGAGCAGTCCCATTGAAGTCAATAAGACTACTTACATACGGTACTTACTTCGCAAGAACAGGACCAGAATTAGTTTTAAATTTGAAGATTGAATAGTAATCAATTTTTATTAATATTAAATAACTAATTGGCTCTATTTCCCCAAGGTAACGATTTATGAAGTTTAAGAGTCATTAAACAAACATTTCTGAGGCTAGCAGAGAATAAAAAACATTCAGCGTATGAAAGTAGGAAATTCCTGCTGATGAATGTTATATACCTTAGATTCTAGATGTTGCATGTTCAGTTCTATTATTTCATTTCTTCATTACATTTCCTTGTAAGATAAAAGGCATTTTTAATTAAAGTGAAATATCACATATTTCAGCTTAAAACAAGCCTTTAGAAATGTACAACAGCAGAAAAACTGAATACATTATAATTTTGTGCTAAGTCATTTATAAAGATAAATTGTTATTAGAAAGTTTGTGCTAATGAAAATTTTAAACTTGGATGAAGTACAGATATTATTGGAAAAACATCCTTTGTTTTAGTTTAAGAGTCCAGTCTTGCAACTGTTATTCAGAAATAATTCAACTGATTTGCAAAAAGGAATTTATCAGATTCAGTTTAAAAAA